ATATTGGCAGATGGAAAAGTGTCCTGCCATCGATTGAGATATTTTTTTTTGGAATGAGAAAAAACAAGCTGAATTGTAATGACACGTGGGATTTAGCCAGATTAGAATCTTAAAAAGTTTCAAACACAAGAATAAATAGCTCACTTATAAATTCCTGCCCCCAGACATCTTTATCAGTGATTTGCTCAGTAAAGGGGCAGTGGAGGAAGAAATGAAAACCAGAGGGAATTTGCACATTCTTAGACATTATTGTAGTGCTTCAATGTCGCTGTCTACAGAGTTGAATCCTAAGGGAAACAAAATCATCTAAATTGTGACTGAAATCCCTCCCAGCCGCAAATACTGACAAAATCAAAGCTATTAGTTCCTTGGTGGCACTTGGCAGATGTTGAAGATAAAACTAATCTGAGCTAAACTTAATATAATTAAGATGATTCCAAGCCTCAGCTCAATTAGAGTTTGAAGGAATTCTAATGATTAGATTAGCATTTTAATTTCAGGACAGAAGAAGGGTATTTAACTATGTGAAAAATGAAGCAAAATAAAGTAAATATATTTCTTTATCTTCCACTAAATTATTGTGTGAAGAATATAATTTTAAAAATTAGAAGCTGTGCCATGAAAAAAAACAGGGAAGACTATCTCATAATTAATAGAAAAATGTTGTAGACAAAGACTGTCAGTTGAACCATAAAATGGAATTATCAGACAAAGCCTTTTGAAAAGTATTATAAATATATGTAATATATAAAGAGATGAGGATTTCAGGAGAGAAGTGCAAAACCTAAATATAAATGAATATGGTATAACTGAAGAGAACAATATTTGAAATCAAAAGAAGTTCCTTAAATTAGTTGAACAACATTTTGGAGACTACAGATAAAATGACTAATGATTTTGAAGATAGGTTTTTAAAAATAACCCAAAGTGAAGGGCAGAGAGAAAAGATTAAAAAACATGAATAGTGTTAATATACTTTGGGGCAATATCAAATAATTAACTAAGAAGAGGAAAGAAAGTAACAAAGAGAATAACAATATAGCTGCCAAGAATTTCACCAAATTTCATAAAAACATTAACCCAAATATCCAGGAAACTGAGGATAATCCAAGCAATATAAATACAAATAAGACCATGATTAAGAAAAAACTTTTAAAAGTAGCCATAAGATAAAAAGACAGTTAAGAGCTATGGCAATAAGAACAATGGTTGATTTTTTAAATCAGAAACAATGGAAACCATGTCAATGAAATTACATTTTAAAAATTATTAAAGAAAAACAAACTGTCAAGCTAGAATTCTACATCCAGTGAAAACAAAATTTAAAAAATTACATTAAACAATGAATGGGTTACCAATGAAATCAAGGAAGAAATACTTCCTGGTAAAAACAAAAATAAACACATGACAACCCTAAATTTATGGAACAAAGCAAAAGCAGCCTAAGAGGGAAGTTCAGAGCATTACAAGCCTACTTCAAGAAATAAGAAAAAGCTCTAATAAACTATCGAACGCGGCAGTTTATTAGAAAGGATTAGAAAGAGAACAAGAAAAGCCCAGAATAAGTAGAGAAGGAAGAAATAAAATACTTCCTGACAATAAACAAAAATAAACACATGACAACCCTAAATTTATGGAACACAGCAAAAACAACCTAAGAGGGAAGTTCAGAGCATTACAAGCCTACTTCAAGAAATAAGAAAAAGCTCTAATAAACTGTCAAACGTGGCAGTTTATTAGAAAGAGAACAAGAAAAGCCCAGAATAAGTAGAAGGAAGGAAATAATAAAGATCACAGCAGAAATAAGTGACATAGAGATAAAAAAAAAATACAAAAGATCAATGAATCCAAGAGCTGGTTAAACGGGCTGGTTGAAAGGATAAACAAGATTGATGAATCTTTAGCTAGACTCATCAAGAAATGAAGAGAGAGGATCCAAATAAATTAAGTCGGAAATGAAAGATGTGAAGAAGCAACTGACAACACAGAAATACATAGGATTGTAAGAAAATATTATGAACTACTATATACCAACAAGCTGAGCAACCTGGAAAAGATGGATAAATTTCTAGAAAAAGACAATCTTCCAAAACTCAACCAGGAAGAATCAGAAAACCTGAGTAGGCCAATAACAACTGGTGAAATTGAAGCAGTAATTTAAAAACTTCCAGCAAATAAAAGTCCTGGACTGGATGGGTTTACAGGAGAATTTTACCAAATGTTCAAAGAAGAACTAACACCTATTCTCCTCAAACTATTCCAAAAAATCCAAGAGGAAGGAACACTTCCAAGCTCTTTTTACAATGCCAGCATTATATCTAACTATTTCAAACAATCCAAGAGGAAGGAACACTTCCAAGCTCTTTTTACAATGTCAGCATTATACTAATCTCCAAACCAGGTAAGACACTACAAAGACAGTGAATTACAGACCAATATCTCCGATGAACATAGATGCTAAAATCCTCAACAAAATATTAGCAAATTGGATCTGCAATATATTAAAAAGATTATACATCATGACCAAATGGGATTTATTCCAGGGATACAACGCTGATACAATTCACAAATCAATAAATGCAATACATCACATAAATAAATTGAAAAACAAAAATTACATGATCATATTAATAGATGCAGAAAAGGTATTTGACAAAATCTAACATCCATCCTATATAATAAAAGCCTAATATGCTAAGTGTCCGGTAGTCTGGTCCTTCATTCAACCAATCAAAGTGTAATATGCTAATAATATGCTAAGGCTGCTCAACTGCTCGCTGTGACGTGCACTGACCACCAGGTGACAGACAGTTGACCAGGTGATATGACATG